TTGCTTGAGTCTTTTAATAAAAAGATTAGCAGCAGTGACTGAGCACAGGAGAAGTGGTACTGTGCAGAGTCCATACATACAGGATAAGAACAGATACCGAGAATGACACCCGGCATACAGGACAAGAGAAGTGGTACTGTGCAGAGTCCATACATACAGACTAAGAACAGATACCGAGAATGACACCCAGCATACAGGACAAGAGAAGAACAGATACCGAGAATGACACCCGGCATACAGGACAAGAGAAGTGGTACTGTGCAGAATCCATACATACAGACTGAGAACAGATACTGAGAATGACACCCGGCATTTCACCAGGTATTTTCACCTCAGAGCTGCTGTCCCCTCAGAACTGCTGTCCCCTCAGATGTTGTCACCTCAGAGCTGCTGTCTCAGGTGTTATCACCTCAGAGCTGCTGTCCCCTCAGGTATTGTCTCCTGGGGCAGCTGCTATGTGTCCCAGAGGATGATATAAAATGGTGTCCTGGCCTCATCGGCTCCTGGGGGCCCCATGCCGGCACTAGGACTGGAACCTCCGGCTACAAGGTAAGATCCGGCATTGAACCCCAGAAGGGGAAACCATCATCTTCTGGGCCGATCCCAATCATTTAATCTCCTGCGTGTCTGTAGCCGATCACTGAAAACACATTGAGGGGAATTTGCTAAGACTGGAGCAGTTGTCATGGCAACCAATCAGCTTCTTTCTTTTATTTTCAAAGCTTTACTGAACAGACTGAAGAGAGAAGCTTTGTCTTTTTTTAAAATATTATATGTAGTTAAACAGCATTTTTGTGCCCAGCCCCCATGCGGTGCTGCAGTACTAACCTGCTGTGTCGTCTTCTAGGTCTGCTTCACAGCCTAGTCATCTGCTCCATTCTGACCTCTTCTCCCGCTGATTGGCCGATTGGATGATGACAGGCTTCCTCCCCAGTCACTCCTGACTGGTGATACAGTCACTCCTGACTGGTGAGGAAGCCTGTCAATCATCCAATCGGAGCAAATGACTGAGGACTTGGAGGAGGAGTTCGCGGCCATCTTGTTTCATTGAAGACGCTATGGAGGTCCTGTGTGTGGCGGTTTCGGGTCCTTGAAGATGGCGGATGCGGCACAGGTACTCGTTTTTTGTATCGGAGTATTTGCACGAGTGCTCATGCAAATACTCGGTATCGTCGCCGATACCGATGCTTGTATCGGTATCGGAGCATCCCTAATCTCTATAATTTGTCAGTACCGGTACCGATGATATCTTTTGTGGTCATGTTTCTGGTGTCCGTACCGGTACTGATTATATCTATGTGGTCATGTTTCTGGTGTCAGTACCAGTACTGATTATATCTATGTGGACATGTTTCTGGTGTCAGTACCGGTACTGATTATATCTATGTGGTCATGTTTCTGGTGTCAGTAACGGTACTGATTATATCTATGTGGTCATGTTTCTGGTGTCAGTACGGTATTGATTATATCTATGTGGACATAGTTCTGGTGTCAGTACCGGTACTGATTGTACATTATAATCTACTGATGTACATTATAGTATAATGTGAGGGAACCACTCAGGCTGCCACACAACCATTAGAGTACACTGAATGTAGGCGAGATTGGCATCTGCTTTTGTGTGTCCAGCCAGCTTGAGTTGGGTGAGTCTCCCTCTAGTGGTGGCTATAAGTAATACAGGAGACTTCTAACTGGAAAGATAATTGTGCCTGGTTTAGCTCACCTGCTAGTGAGAGCAACGTGTGTCTTGGGTGAAACCTGTGTGTCAATCTGCTTGAGTGTATGGACTATAGCTGGCCACAGACCTTACAACCATCGCAAGACTTTTGTCTTGTCTTGCGATGGTTGTAAGGTAATTTAAAAAAACGTACGATTTGCCTATCTTGGACAGGCAGATCGTACTTGCGATGATCGCAAGCCCGCCCCGCCGAGGGGAGGGCTTCCGATGGCCGCAATGCTGAACAGGCAGTGTGGGCTTTTATCTTGCAAACATGCCACAATCGTACGATTTTCGGCTGGTTTTCGAACATGTTCCAAAGACAAAAGTCGTTGGACCGTACAGTAGAAACGATCGCATGCCTTCCACACACCTTGCGATAATCGTACGATCGCGGGATTTCCCTCGATTATCGCAAGGTGTGTGGGCACCTTATGTGTGTCCGGGGAAAAGTTTCCCATGAGCCTGTAAGTTATAGGAGGTGGCAGCTTAGATTAGTTCATTTCTATGTACATGTTGTGGTTCTATGGCTGCCACTGTCATATCTCCACACTGGGAGGCGCTCTGGAGGTTTGCGTGATGATCTACCAGTGTGCTGGGCCAATCTCCAAGGATGAGCAAAGGAAGTAATAGCCTGCGCATCGTCCAGCCTTCCCATCTCCCAATACCCGCTTGGCACCCTCCCCTGGTCCACCATTTGTGACTAGGGTGCCATGATGGTTTCTGACTCAGTTTTAGGGTTTCCAGCCCTCATTACTGGCACAGTTAGAACCCAATTTACAGTAACTCTGCCACCAAACTATTCATTTCAACAACAATTGCCCTTAATGACAACTTTTCTAAATGTACCTAAATTTCCATATGACAAAGTTTTGTAGTCTGACGACCAACATTTATTGCATAAATTAAATTACAATTTGTTAGAGACCAAATATGATATGAGTAATATGAATGCAATTATATCTTGGAGGATCTAAGATGTCTAACTGATTGCCGTTTTCCCATACAATGGCATAACTGTGTGTCTATTAAAGTGTCTATTACCGACAGAATGATGGAATATGAACCAGCGTTGGACTTTGATAATTACACAAAACGGGACCAGAATGTGTATTTGCTCAAAGCTGTTAACAGCCTGTTTTATGAACGGTTTAAGACCGTCATTTATGATTGGAGGACATTAAGAGACTTTACAGATCCTGGCTAAGATGGTTCTGTATTCCTTTCTAGCTGATATGCTTTGTGTCAATGTGTCTTAAGGTGCCCATACACTGTACGAGAATCGCAGGAAATCCCGCGATCGTACGATAAGTGCAAAGTGTATGGAAGGCGTGCGACCATTTCTACTGTACGGTTGCACGTCTTCTGTCGAACAAGCAGGCTTGAAAATCGTACGATTTTCGGCGGGTTAGTGGCCTGCTTGTTGGGCAACTGCTGAATGGGCCGGTGTGCGCACGCGTACACTGCCCGTTCAGCATTGCAGTCATCGGAAGCCTGCCCCTCAGCGGGGCGGGCTTGCGATTATCGCAAGTACGATCTGCCTGTCCAAGATGGGCAGATCGTACGTTTTTTAAATTATTTTACAACCATCGCAAGACAAAAGTCTTGCGATGGTTGTAAAGTGTAGGGCCACCTTAAAGCTGGTTGTTTTGTTTGTATAATAATATGTATTATTTCTGTGCCGCCCCAATGGGGCATAGAATATGTTGTAGAAGTT